GAAAAATCCCCCGTGTGTGCTGCTATGGTGTAAGTGCTTGCATTAGAAGGTATGAGGTTCGAATCTCAGCGATGCACAGTTGATTTTTCGTGTTTGCAGCCTCACAAATCTAATAGATCTCTACAAATAAATGAAAAGAGCATACGCAGGATAAATTAGAAAAATTAAAATAACTGATACATTAGTTTTTCTTCGGAGTCTCAGGAATCCTAAATAAATCAACAAAAATCCCAACAAGTCGCCTTTCTGACGTGAGAAATGTACAGGAAGACCAAGCATACCATTTAACAAGGGGAGAAAATACATTTTGAAGCAATTTGGAATGAAGTTATTCAAATTAAAAAAAAACTGATCCCAATGCAACTAAAGACTGAACAGTATATAGAAAGTTGAGGTCGAAGGTGGGAGAACGTAATGGTTAAGCGAAATGTTACAGACATGACGAAACGGAATTTAAATTAAAATCTGTGTAGAAAAATAACTATTGTTAGAGAAATGTAATTAATTTGAAAAGAAAAATAAGAACAGCTATAAGCAGACGAAAAGAAAATGCACTTTAAAGATGAGAAAAATTACCTTGTTCATTAAAGCATATACTACGAGTTTCCATGAAAATTATAATGAAGAACAATAACCTGAGATAATAGCATTAAATTCAGAAAATAAATAAATAAGAATACGAAGTACCAAATGGTTGTTACTTCGCCACCAGAAGTACGATAGTAATTCCCCTTTTTTGATTTATTTTTAAATTAAGATTGAATTTTTGTTACTTTTATCCTTAACTACATCGAAAAGAGAAACTGAAAGAACTGCAGATAAAATCATTGAGCCTAAAACTTGGTGCATATAACATTAATTGCGAACTCTTAACTTTTATATAAGAAATATAGCATTCGGATATTTTGGCTTTCGGATACTTTTGGAGTACATTTGAATACTTTTACCACATAACTGAACCTGGTAATGCTTAAAGAAAGTGAATTTATCAAAACTATAAATAAGAGAATTATATTTTTGTAGCGTAGTTTACGTGAGATGAGATCACTTGGGGTCACGTGATACGAACCGGCGAATTAGGATGTTGAACTATGAAAGCATAGTAAATTCTTAAACTAATGTTATTTTAAAAATTTATTTTCTTTATTTATTGGCTTTTTAAAAAATTTAAAACGATATTAAAATGTTTATGCCTTCACAATTAAAAATTCTTAGAACTAACATTTGTTAATATTTTTTGTGTGTTTACTGTATGTTGTCGCCAATAAAGTCTGTTTGGCGAGATTTGCACCGGCGAAATGGAAAAGTACCAAATGTCGCGTTATTTTACACAGTAGTCAAATGACCTACATTTCGTTTTCTCTCCCTCCTCTCGGTCCGTCAATGAGTACTTAACATTCTGCTGCATGCCAGACTAAACATTTTGCTGTACTATTTGTAACTGTTCTTAAATGCATGTCATTGCATTACAATATTCGTATCTGAGAACATTTAAAATTGAGAATAAATGGATTTTTAAGTATTCGTTTGATTGGTTTATGTGATTACGGCAAAGTCTCGAGAGCTATTTGTCTAAGGTGAGGGACGCGTTCGTGGAGGGCTTTATATAAAAAAAACTGGCACATATACACGTTACACATGAGAAAACCACGAAAACGCCCATGCAGCCAGCCCGTTCGCGGGATTCCTAACCCCTGACCGAACTACCAGTGTTCAGCGACTTTTCCACTCGGCCACATCGTAAGCCTATTTTTAAGTATATAAAAGTCATTACAATTTGACGGTTGCATTTTATACTGCTTGTTTTCTACATAGCTACCAATTCATTGCTCAGGTATACTTTAAAATTGATTCTATTACCTCCCCTATGTTTTACGCTTATTGCGCCATACCCACGGGTAATAAATACGTTCTAAGACTTAGTGTGGCTGTCTGAAATCGTGGATGATGTCGAAAGCTAGATGTAACGCGATATAAGGGCAGTGTGCATAATTAGAATAAAACTTAGAGTAAATTTTTCTAACCTTAAATAAAGTAAAAATAAAGTATACTCAGTTTTGCCACTGTACATTACAAAGTGCTTTGGCTCTCTGTGTTGTAAATGTATAAAAGTAAAGGATTCTGTCACTTTAGCACAAGTCACTTTCCCTTAGAAATTTCTCTACGAAACTGCTCTTGTCGTAAGCTAAAAGCCCTGGCGTGCTTTGCTGGAAAATATTAATAAAGTAAATCATAACGACGTTTTAGACAAATTTTGAAGAAGGGATAGAACAATGAAAAGCAGTGAACCTGTTCTGTATAAATAGCATGGCTACTGAAGGTATAATGCATAATTTCAAGGTATGATACAACAAAATTTCTGTTCTTCCATCAAAGCACAGCATAAACAGATAACCATCTGTATCTGTATCAATCTTGCTTTTTAAGCAAGAAAAAAGAAGATGAGGACTTTGGCGAACGCCGTTTCCTCCAATCCGTGAGGGTTAATATTGAAATTAACAACAAACGTTTTTACAACTTTTTATTAAACTTTTACAAACATCCATGCCTTCTTCGGGATTCGAACCCGGACCCTTCGGCACGGCAGTCAGCAATGCTAACCACTATATCGGTTGGGCGGCAGATAACCATCTATCTGAATCGCGAATGCACTTCCCATTACGGTTGAGATTACCATAGAAAGACAGTACTGGGTATATTTCTCCCTGTTACTGAGACCACCAGCGGCCGAGTGGTAAACTCGCTGAACACTGGTAGCTCGGCCCGAGGTTCGATTCACACTAAAGGACTGGTTGCATGGGCGCTTTCGTTTTTTTCCCTATGTGTTACGCGTATACGAGCCAATTTCCCTTAGAAAATCCTCCACGAAGGCCCCCTCCCGTTAGGCGAGGCAGCCCTCGATGTTTAGCCGCAATCACATAAACCCAATCTCTCCATATTACTGTCTATTCTCTTTTATAAATCTATAATAATGTAGTAATAATAGGAATAAATAAATAGTTTGTAATTTTAAGATCTTTTAAACCATTATTTCTTTAATTAAAAGAATAACTGAAGCAAGTCGTGAGTAACTGTTATCTTAAATATTGAATCAGAAGAAAAGGGGCAAATTTCTTTAGTATAATATTTAATAAATACCGCAATTAAAATTTTGATACTTTTTTAATATTGATATATTGTTTAATGCTAGAATAATCCGATTAATATTTATTTTACTTTAAATATCACTTTATCCAAGAGAATTTAATCTGAATTTTTACAATTTTTGGACTTTTATTTTAAATTTTTAACCTGTTTTTGATTAGATAACAATTTATCAATATTCAGAATTTAAGTATTTTATTTATAGTGATATTACTATTTTATTTATAGAAAACTATTTTATCTTTAGTTAAGTTACATCGTAAAAAATCAACCGGAAAAGAGGCTGAACAAAGACGCCTCTCAGCCTTTGAATGTTTGATGTGTTTAGAAGAATGAAAATGTTTTTAATATCTGAAATAAAATACTTATTTCTATGCTTTAAAACTAACAGGAAAATGAGCATTTGTTTCTTTTCTTTACCCCAATCAAAAGTTGAATTAAAAATTGACAGCACATGGCTTTGGAAGGTTTGATTACAAAGGTGAGTAAGCTTACGAAACCAATACTGATTTTTCTAATAAATGAGTTATCTAATAAAAGTTCTGTTATATAAATAAAATAAAGCAGCGCCAGAGATATTGCGTTGGTGAAGAAGAAAAACTAGAACAGTAATTTATTATCTTTCGTCAAAATATAAAAATACTGATTATTCTATTTCCGTACATGTTATCTCATGATAAAATGAAAAGTGACAATAGGAAAACTTTATTGTTTTATACCCCTGACAATGCTCTAACTTTAGTACCTAGTAACAAAGCGTTATTTTTTAATTTGCTTTGAGCCGATTTTCTTTATAAATTAACAAAAAAAATTTAAATTTATGAAATTTTAATTATGAAAATTCATTTGCTTAAATAAAAGTTTTACAAAAATTTGAAACTTAATATTTATTAGAATTTATTTTCTTCAAACACATACTTTCCAAATTGCCGCCCAGTCGGTATAGTGGTCAGGACTGCGATGCCCGAAGGGCTTGGGTTCGAATCCCGGAGAAGGCATGTCCGTCCCTTCATGGTAAAGGCGATGATGGCCCACCTATTAGGTGCCCCCATAATAAAGAGACCACCACATCCGGCCTTGTATAAATTAATGGACTGGGTTACATTTGTAATTGTTCATAATCTGCCATTGGGGGGGAAATAAAAACTATCCGAATTGTTTGTCACATTTGTTCTCCCTAATTCGTGTTTATATAACAACCGTGTAACATAACTGAAGTTTCAGTATTGCGTATCGTAAGTAAAATATAAAATTTAGTGCTTTACTTTCTCCCAACCACATCTGTTTGTGGCTATTCTCGCTATTATTTGCATATTTTTAAGCTGAATATTAGAACATTACTATCTCATTTCTGTTAACGAATTATGATTATTTCTAATAACAATCTATTTCTGTCCAGTGTGACTGAAAGAAAATTTAAATTATTATCATAGAATAGAATCTGTAAAATAAGATGTCATTTATGAAAAGGTATTCCAGCTCGAAAATTTTACAAACTCAATTCTGCTTTCCTTACGAATTTTATTATTTCTGTCTCTCTTTAAAAACTTGCTTGCATTTAACTGATTAAATTGCGATGTATACTTACTTTGATTTTTAGAGATATTAATATTTCTCAATTCATAATGAACCATAATGGAATATTTAAATCAGAGTATTTTTCCTATGTTTGTTAAAAGTTTTATCGCCCACAGAAGCAAATGATATCTTCCAAATTCTAAAGAACTGTTAAATTAGCTGACTCAACCAAGCTTCAAGATTGTGAGTCTTTCCGAAAGTTGTTCATTTAAGTTACCAGGCGTCGGATCTTGGCGATTATTTTCTTTTGGCGGCAGCCAAGACGTAGCTCCTTCGACCCAGACTCGAGTGAATTTTCGAGCAGCGAAAAGAGGGGGCCAAGGAAGTTGCGTGCGATGTTTTCCACCCCCTCGGTATCCCGAATCCGAAACTAATGAAACAGAGCAACGGATACATCCAGGAACCGATGGCTACTGCGGAATCGGAATCAGATGCCATGCAAGAAGATCACCAAATCAATAACATCGCAACAGTTGGACCCAAAACGGAAGGCCATGAGTTCAGCCTTGCTCTCAAACCCAAGGGGACTCCGCTGTTTCGACTGAGGTTGGTGGTATATTTTTAGCTTTGTCTTCCGTTCCTTGCGACTGGAATTCCTAACGGTAGACATATTGCAACCTAGAGTAGGAAAGATACCTATCATATAAATTTTTTATATCAAAATGCATTAGCTTGAGATCTCAATAAAAATGCCCAACTGTAGTATTTGAAAACCTTCAAATTCTTAGACTATCAAACTTAATTATAAAATTACATCATAGTAAAAATTTACAGCAGTCACAGCTTTTTTTTGTTTTTGTTTTTGTTTTGTTTAGATATTGATATAAATATATAACTATTTTGATAAATAAAAAGAGAAGGTGGTAAGCGACCTTAAATGTAGTACGTTTGTCCTTTTTTTTTATATTTAAAGAATTTTAAGTAAAGAGACTTGTGGCAAAGAAAGATAGCTAATAAAACCGTAATATTGAAACTGTATGGGTAGTTTTAATATACTGAAAGGGACATTAGCTAAGCCAAATGATTTTAAATGATACGGCGTATCTTTCATTCCGTTCTATATTTTGATATTTCCTCCTTATGTTTCGAAACAAAACGGAACAAATATTTGTTCATTAGCAAACGTCATGAAGAATTATGATGCGCTATGTAGTATGGACGCTTTTAAGAATAATTCATTTATAAAATCAGAATGAAAAATATAAACTCTAATTAGAAATAAGAATGACCAGTAATAGGAGCAAAATATCAGTGACATATTTTCAAAAAATTCTAAAGAGTATTAAATAAAATATTCAAGTAGTTGCTTTCTAATAACATAAAATTCTTTCTTTGCTAAGAATCTGTGGTAAAATTACGAACCAAGCTCTGTCTTAACAAGAAAATAAATTTAAAAAAAAATATCCAGGAAATTTTCAGAGATAAAAAGGAGGAGAGGGAAGAAAGAGACCTTGCCCCGTTTTAAGAGAATGTATTGCAGGCGGAACAAACACGTCGCCCCTGCCGAGTATAATTATTTTTGTCTTTTGCGTACATTAAAGAAACGCTGAAGGGATTAACTCCTTTAGCTGGAACATTTGCAAAGAAAACGGAATAGTGCTTGAAAAATGCTTTCTTTGGTACAAACAGAAATAAGGATCTTGTTCTGCGTTTAGGAAATACATGTTGCAATTTGATGAGTGAAAAAAAACAATAGGAATATGTTTTGACATTTTAATCACGTGTATGTGTATTATATTTTACAAAATATTCTTCATTCATACTTGATCTTTTCTCTTTTTCATCTTCTTTTTTATACAGCGATTATTCTTTATTAAATACGTGTCATAAGAGATTTCAATGAAACCGTATCATGTAACAGATTTTAACAATCAAATTAAAAAATTCCATTATGACCTTTTATGTTTCAGGGCAGGAATGATTTTAAAAGACGTTATCTAGCCTGTTGCTTTACTCCATAATAAACAGAAAACAGATGTCAGTTTCTTTCAAAAGTTGCCCATATAAGGTCCTCTAGGAAGATAGCCCTCGCATACCTTGCTGTTATTAAATTAAACATGTCTTCTTGAAACTGCGGAAATATTTTTCAGTCATTTTTTTACTAGCTGATTATTAAATCTACGGAAACGCATATATCTTAGGCCCCCCCCCCAGCAGCTGACTGGACATGACCGCTAAATACTAAAAGCTTCTCCTGGGTTCGAATTCCTAGAAAACGGCAGGAGTATTTTCATGATTTCCCCATGGTAAAGTAAATAAGAATCAGTTTCCTCTAAAAAATCCTGCGCAAAAGCATGCTCACTTTAGGCAAATAGGCTTGAATGCTTTGCAATAATAGATTACGAAAATAAAAGAGTTAGCATTTGGGTTTCAGTATAATGGAAGGGAGAGTATGAAATGGAATCTGGAGTAAAATCTTTGAGTAATGAAAGGGAAGGAAAGACCAAAACGGATTCCAACAATGCACATACATTTTTACTGAAACAATTCTTATTTATTTGCAGATTTTTTGCTGAAAGAAGCGCTGATAAAGAAAAACTAAAATTAAATATGTAATATTTTATTAAGATTTTGGAAAATTAATTTAATTAATCGCGGGTCTACCACTGGCTGCGTGGCTTAACCTGAGTATCATTGGTATTTTAACCTACAATTCGATTTTCAGTGACATATAGATTTATTATATTGTGCTTTCAAAGTTTTTCTTATTCGTGATGTAAATGCCAGTCAGTTTTATTCCGAAGGTCCTCCACAAAGCAACAACTTCTTATTGCGGAAGTATACTCTTGTATCTTACCATGATTAATTTATCCACCTAAGGTAATCACTGAACGTTTTATCAGGGTTTTATAATATTTTGCTTTTGAGATATGAAAATAGAGCCCTATAGCTTCACATTTTATCACTCTCCTATGAATCCGCATGCTTCCACGGTTAATAATTCCGTAGTTCTTCAATTAGCATTATAGGACAGAAAAAAAAATCCTAGTTATGACGGTTGCTTTCTGTATTCATGACGAATTAAACTGCGGCTATATTAAAAACCATGATGACTGTTTTATTATTAAAGCTGCATATTGTGTACTCACTATCGGATGTCATTAATTAGCGTTGATTAATCAGGAAAATAGACACAAAAATACGCACTCATATTTTTTTTTTTTTATTCAGCCAAGCTAAAGATAAAATGCTGAAGTGAAAAATTGCACCAACTCAAAGCAAGGCTTAGTTTTCCAGAAAATATGTTAAATGTAATAAAGTTACAGAAATTAAACTGCAATATATATATATATATATATATATATATATATATATTGCAGTTTTAATTTCTGTAACTTTCTTTATTTATTTACTTAATTTATATATATATATAAATTAGTAATAATGAATCGCATCTAAGTATTGGTTAAATTCTACATTATTTTAAAGATTTATTACATAATAAATTGTAGTACTTTAACTAACAAATATTATTAATTTAATAAGGAATTATTAAGTTAATGAATTATTATAAAGTTAATAAGCTTTAGATTCAGCATTATTTTCGAAATATGTACATAAGTTATTGGAGAAGAGCTAACCCCTCAAGGGGTACAGTTTTCCCTGCCCGCCCTAGATAGTTTGTTTGGACCAATCCTTAGATGTTTCATTCCACGCCCTTTGCCTGAAGTTAGCATTAATCAAAACATTACAGTATATTGTATATTATTTAAAAAATAAAAAAGTAAGTTAGTATTGAGACATTTCTGGACTATTTAAAAATAAAGCTACATCTTTCTCTAACAGATGTAGTAGCATGTGTGGGTAGCTGGGAATCTAAAAATTAATGTGATGCTATAATTCTATAAATGTAATAGCAGAAAATAAATTTTTACGTATTTAAATGGTCACAGCTATCATGAGTTTTTAGATGCTGACAGATATTGCTTCTCAAGGATTTTACTTTTATCTGGCAGTAAGATAAGAGCACTGGTGAAATTTAAAGAATTCTCTTCAAAATGACCATCCTTATTTATAGCATTATGGATATACCAAACAGATTCTCTTACTGTAAACATACACGTTCGTTGACGCTAAGATAACTCTGAAGACAAATTTGACATATTCTGTCTTCTAAATGGGGCAGATAGTAATCTTCTCACAGTAAGCCAAGACTGAGACTCGTGTTATTGTCTTAATATGTATATATATATTAAGTTGATTTTACTTCAATCCTGCAGCTATAGCGCAGGACGGGTATAAAAATTTTGCTTTTAATTTTTAGCCGCTTATTAGGTTTCTTTATATACATACATATATAGATAGATAGATAGCTATATAGATATACTGAATACACAAACACATTTGTATACATGTAAAATAATTCCAAGCTAAAATGAACTGTTTAGAAATATTCAAAATACATCCTAATTCAATGGTAATTAGCGTTATGAAAAGGCACTTGCTGATTCTTGCGTGTAAGCGTTTTCGTACCGCTATCTCAGGATCATCATGTAACATGAGAAAGAACTTTGAAAGAAGAACATATTTCTGTAGCTGAGAGCTATTCGACGAGAGAATAATTCAATTTAATGGGCCTGAGCAATTTTTGCAACATTTGCATTTGTGTAAATAAAACCAAAAATTAAACCAAACCGAAACAAAAGTATAAACAAGAAATATAGTTGAAAAATACTTCTAAAGCATCTAAAATTCCCTTAAACTGAGAATTTATCATGATCTTTTACAATTAACGAATCAAATAGCATTTTGCTTGCATAAAATGTAAAGTAACGCTATATTACACATTCAAAAAATGCAAGTTCGATTGTCTGGGAAAGTGTACCATTATAATGATTCTGACAAAATAAAAATCAATTAACTTTTACGAATACAGAATATTTAATATGGAGTGTTGTTCTGCCAAAACTAAATATGGTTAGTTCTCGATTAACCGGGCCTTTTTTTATTAATTTATTATGAAATGAGGGGAAATAACTATTCCAAATCATCAAAGTAAAGCAAATTTTGTACGGAAATCTAAAAAGGGGAAGACAATGAGTAATGGCAGTGGTAGCAGATTAGATCACTGTACTTAGAAATTATTTTTATCCACATCAGTGTGTACTAATTTAATTGAGCAAATTCTGGAATATTTAAATATTGTTAAACCATCCTTTAAAATAAATTGCTAAATTCCAAAAATAAATTAAGTGTACAGGCTTTAATCTTCTGTTTCCCATTGATTCCTATCGAAGCACAAGAGTAACATTAATAAAAGAATTTTTCTTTATCTTTTGAAAGTGTGTTCTTCTAGTTTTGAATGCTGATTTAATGTACAAACTGCTTAAAAATTCTGGTAGATTGTTAACAGTATTTTTCTATTAATTATAATGTGGGTTATTCCACTTTATTGTGTTTTTTTAAACTGTTGTTTGACTAACCATCTCCCGTATTACCCAGGTTAATTGGGAGTCTACTGCAATATCCAAAATATGTAGACGTAACGCATGCATTAGTTTAAAAGTAAAAATTAGAAAAGCAGAGTTATGTTAATTAATTTTCAA